GTTTGCAAACGGGCCACTACTTTCGATATGATCTGTCTGTGGAAGAGCAAGCTTGCTTTGTGGGGTTGCGCAAATCGGTCCAGGGGGTTAATGATGTCAGCATCAACGTGTTAGAGCTCCTTGGCATGGTCATCGGGGCGTGGGTGTTGGTATTGGATCGAAGTCACCAGCCTGTGGAGGCGGGTGATTGTGTGCGACTTCGAGAAGACAACGAAGCAGCGACGGCGTGGATTGAGCATTGTCGGGGGGGCCTTGAGCCTCGATCGGGGGCGCTGGTGCGCCTACTGGGGGCGCTGGAGGTAGCCAGCGGGTGGCATTTCCACGCGACCCATGTTCCCGGCATACTCAACTCGCTTGCTGATGGTATCTCACGTTGGAATACTAACGATGTTCATGATAACCTGTGCGCTGCCTCCCCTCATGTGGCGTGGCAGATCGTGGAGTTAGGCCCGACGGAGCGCGAGTTGTGCTCCACCGTGCTGGCTTCGAGCTCGTCCGGCACGCACTTGCGCCGTCGTCTGAACGAACTTTCCTGGGATTTATTGGAGCGTGGGTGAAGTTTCGAGAGAACGTTGTGGGGAGACCGGCGTTTATGGTGCCGTCGTCTCCATCGCCGGACATTGTTTCGCAATTGTTGGAGTACGTGGCATACGCGTTCACAGTGTTGGGCTTGAGGCAGACGACGATAGCTGGTCATGTCTGCTGTAATTTTTTTTCACCGCTTGTCGTATGCGATGGAAGTTGATATATGTCATTCTTTCATCAAGCAGGCGCCTAAAGGCGTGGCGCGAGGGCATGCGGGTGTTGGTGCGCAGCAACGGGTGCGACGTCCGGTGTCGTGGTCGATGCTGAAGGAAAGGGGGCGTCTGGTGCCACAGTGGGGCACGGGTGGGCGCGTGTTGTTTCTGGCGTTGAGAGCGTCATTTTTTTCTTGATGCGGGCATGCGAAATGTTCGCTGGGCCCTCGGTTGGCCATGGATTCTTGTCATGGGTTGCGTCGGGGGGACTTGGCGTTTTTTTTTGGGTTCTCGCCAGTTGTCTCCTGAACGGAGGGGAGAGGCCGACAGAGTCGAGGTGCGGTTTCGGTCGTCGAAAGGCGACCAGTTTCGGAAGGGTGCCGTGTGTACGCAGGCGAGGCCGGGGGCTCCCCAGTCTGTGGAGTGTGGGGAGGGTGAGGTCGATGTGATGATTGAACTCCTGTCATGCTACCCTGTTCTCCCTTCGTCTGCTCCGTTAGTCGCGTTCGGAACCGGGGAGGGGCGATAGTCCGTGTGGACTCGTCGTCACGCGACGGAATCGCTGCGGCAAGTCGGGTCGTTAGCGGGTCTGCCGTCGTCAGAGTACGCGTTGCATTCCCTTCGGATTGGGGGCGCCACGTACTTGGCAGCGCGGGGAGCGTCGCCAGAAGTTCTGAGACGAGAGGGGAGATGGACTGGGGAATCGGGGAATCGGCCGTACGTAGGGAACCATGGAAATGATGCAGAGTTGGTTTCTAGTACATTGGCGTCGGAGGGTGATACAGAGAGGCAACCGGGACAGGGTACAGAGTGGGGTGACGCAGTCCCTGAGGCTGGTGAGGGCGAGCCGTAAAAGGAAGGGGTGGAGTGTATGCGATCAGGGTTTATTGGTCGGTACAAGAGTGGGAACCACGGTAGGGGGGAAGAGAGAGTACAGATCAGTATGGTAAACCAGTCCGCGGTTAGGTTGGGGGCAGGCATGACTTTGAGAGTATGCCTGATGGTGCGGTGACTGGTTTATACTGATGGTGTTGTGGACGGGGATAGGTTGAGATCCCCGAGTTCCGCTCTTCTCTCCCCCCCCTGTTCAAGCGTGGGGGGGTACGACAAATTCATGCAATTTCGAAAGCAACGAACAAAGCAGAAGATTGCAGAGACAGAGGCGTTGAAATCTGAGTTTTGTGAGGAACGGAAGATGAAATATCTGTTGGCCAATCAGAGAGCAGCAACATGGAGTCAGCATGAAGTGTCTGAAACCTGACCAGAAGAGTAGACTTGGGAGCACTTGTTGGTCTGCCCCAAGGAAGCACGAGGGAGGCTGCTGCAGCCAAAAGATATTTCGGAGGCGATCTATTTCTTTCCCACCCACCCACCCTTTAGCTTTTGGGGGTGTCAGTGGTAGGGCAAGGACGGATCGCCAGCAGTAGTGAATGAGGAAGGTGTCGTCGTTTGGCGATACTGCTGATGGGGCGAGGGTTTCTTGGGTAGATGGTCCTTGCCTGGGTGTGTCTGTCGCGTTAGAGATGCTGGCGGTACTCTCAGTGCGGGTGAGAGCGCCTAAGTTGCTGTGCCACGAGCGACGAGTGCACAATGACTGGATGATTGGTTATGGTCGACAGGGTCGGCTGTAGCCGTGGGCCGGCGGTCGGGGGGCGGGTGCAAACCCAACGTGTGGGTTCGTGGGGTACCGCGTGTGTGCGACCGTTGACGAGCTTGACGAGGTAGCGCGACTAAATAGACATGGGCATGCAGTGGTGTAGTTCACGGTGCATCACAATCAATGTGATATGTGTGCGGTATATTGAGGTCGGTATATCGGAACATGCGTGCAATTTGGAGAGAAGAGAGTGTGGGGAGCACCCGACATCCCAGGGGGAGTGAGCGCGCAAATGTAAGTTGTTGTTAACAGCTGGCGCTGAGTGAGAGGGGGATTAGTGCGGTGCTAGGAGTATTTCCAGTCCATGCTCATGTACATGAAATACAACTGTGTGGGGCTTTGAGGTGCCGGGCAATTTTTGTTTCTGTTTTTTGCATTTCCTTTCTGTGAAAATGTAGCTCGGCATTCTCTATGCATACGTATGTTTCGGAGTCTGTGGAGGACAGGGGGCAGGCATGACTTTGAGAGTATGCCTGATGGTGCGGTGACTGGTTTATGCTGATGGTGTTGTGGACGGGGATGTAGGTTGAGATCCCCGAGTTCCGCTCTTGTCTCCCCCTGTTCAAGCGTGCGGGGGTACGACCAATTGATGCAATTTCGAAAGAAACGATCAAAACACATAATTGTGTACGCAGGTGACAGGTGACTCGATGGGCGTCACATTTGCTCACATGCATCGAGAGGCCGGCAGTCCGCAGAGTGCGACAAAATAGGCGTCCCACTCTCATGGCATGCTGCCTACACGTGCATCCTCCTGCTTGCACTACCTAGGCTAGCACCAGGAGAGATGCGACGAGGACAGGACAACATCATGCATGTTCTCAAGTCTCACGCTACCTGGTGGCATATCATGAGGCGACGTCCTAGTCCCATCCTGCCCTTCCTTGCAGTGCATGTACACCATCCTCAACAGCCATCTCGGTGGAAACGCAGATTGAAACAAATCGGGCAGTCACAGCCGGGGATATCTCGAGCCAACCCCGGGTTTTCCAAGTGAAAATTCCGGTTCTCGGAACGGTTTTAATGTGAAGACAACAACAACAACAACAACAACAACATCAACAACAGCGGTGCTTCGTGCCTTGCGTCGTGGCATTGGTCGAGCGAGCGTTCGAGTTTCTTCGGGCGGTGGGTTCCCCTCCAGCGTTCAGCATCTCTCTACCGCATTCCGTTATTCCGACAACGCGGCGCAGCCGCATCCTCGCCGTGTTCGCGGCCGCTAGGCCATCCCTTTGACCGTGAGTGAGGGTTACTGCTGTAGGGTTGGGTTGGGATGAGTCGGGTCGCGGCTGCGGTGTGTGACGGACTGTGTGTGACACATCGCGTGTGCGGAGCCTAGGTCAACATTCGAAGGGCACTCTCACAGACCACATACCACACACCGACCCCCGCCGCTGCGGCACGACCCACGCATTGGGATACGTAGGATACATAGGTGCGTTCGCGAATTCATTAATCGTAATGGTCACCGTCACCGTCCTGCTTCATGAGAGCTCCCAGAGTGACTCCAGCAGACTCTTCCAGCGGCTGGGTCGCTCCATCGCGTCCGATACGACCAGATTCGATGTACAGATTCTGCACATAACGGCCTTCCTTTCGCTCGGGTGACACGCCTGTTGATCGGCAGTCATTGCCGCAGTATGATTTTTTTCTTTTTTGTGCCGGCTTCTGACCATTCCGCAAACGAAAGCTGTCAATCCCTGCCATCACAAGTGGACTTGCATCGACGTTGGAGGATTGCTCGGTGGGGAGGGGCAGGTATTTGCCCACGACGACCCAACGCCGAGAACAACGTTCAGCCACGTCGGATTGTATCGCACTACTTACAGCTGTTCCGCTCAGGATACTTCCCATCTCTTCCTTCCGTGTTCGGCGGTCATATCGGCTCCCCGTGGTCGGAGTTTTTTCCGCTTGATTTTTTCACGTGAGGCAACAAGTGCCGGGTGGGTGCCGAGAATGCAGTGTTGAAAAACATTAAGAATGTTGTAGATGGCTTCCCCGATACCACGTTCGACATTGATACGTTACGAACAACAGCGGAGCAAGCAAGCTGACACTCGGCCAGAGGGTCTGGAAAACACCGCTCGCAATGAATAATGTGAACATCTGCATGCAGCAGCCGCAGCAGTAGCAGCAGCAACAACGACACGGGCCGTTCAAACCTGTCCAGAGAGAACGTGTAACGCCGTTGAGGGTAGTAACTGCTTCTGCTCCCGCAGCATCACTCCATCACGATTGATTCACCATGATAGAGTGACAAGATGCACGATCGTGAAGAGCGGCCAGCACCCATACGCAACGCAGAATAACGTAAAAAAACTGTGAATGCCGGCTCAAACGCATCGCTCCTGCTGCGGCAAGCACAGCGTACACCACATGACAAATAATTCACGACATCATTGCGAAACAAAAAGCGCCTCACTCTCTCCCTTTCTCTCTCTATCCCTCCCTCTCTCTCTCTCTCTCTCTCCCTCCCTCCCTCCCTCTCTCCTTTCCATGGTACTCTGCGATGGCAATCAATCGACGCCACCACGACAGCACAGCAACCCCCTCCACCCCGTTGCGAACGAGCAACACCACCACAAGCACAACCAAACGATCCAATTCATTCCATTTTCTCGTGTGTACTTGCGCAAGTCTCGCAACTCATCTAGTCTCGTGCAACAGGCGCATCCAAACTACGCAGTAGCAAAAGGCGGTGTTTCCCAGAGATGAAAACTGACCGCTCCAGGCAAGGGGAAGGACGGCGGGGGTACCCATTCATCATGTTGTCCTCGTAACCCGGAGACACACATACGTAACACCAAACCAGTTCCAAAATTAAACCTTACCCGCCATGTAGAAAGTTTTTACTCTGGAAGTGAATCAGCATGCCTACTACTTTCACTCTCCCTTCTGTTCTCCAGAACAAGCCCGTGACCCCACCTCTGCCAGTGAATCACACAAAACGCAACATCCCGCTCCCTTGTCCAAATTGCTTGCAACTATGTTGCTGTTGCTGTTTCAGCTTTTGTCGCAGGGCGGCAATTACTTCCGAGGTTGTGCCGAAAATGAAACCCAGGTGCGCATAGTTTTGTGCCCAGCAAACGGCGGTCGAACCCTGCACGATGGGGCACCTGCACCATCCCCAGAACCCACGCCGTTCTCGTACTGCAGACCGTTCACAAACACGAAAATGCCACCCTCCCTCGGGGGCGCGAAATATGAAAGCCGTTGCACAATTACCGACGTCAACATCCCGACGCGGATAATACGCAACATTTCTACTTGTATGACGGTATCACCTGCCCCTCGCAATACAAAATACCCACGTGGCACAAGCCGGCCTCCCTGCACGCACACGCCAAGCTCTGCAGGGGAAAAACACGCAACTACCGGTACAGGGTGAAGCGCAGCAACTTTTGTTGAACTGCGCCACACGAAAATCGCCATACAACGAGCACAGCAACTAAGGACTCAATATTTTTTTATATCGTGGCCGCACCTTCATCCCTATCTGTACATACAAGCATTGAGAGTAGGGCCACTGCTTTGCGTCTTGCGGGAAGAATGCTGAATAAAACGACTCGCAGTGGTATCAAGCACTGGTGGCAAGGGCTTCGCTACGGGCTGCTGCCCATTAATCTTGATTTCACACTTCTGGTCAAAACAGCCAAACTACTGATCTAGAGCACCTCATGCGAGAAAAAATACCGACCGCCGCCCTTGTTCACGCTCACCTCAACTCGATACAGACAACGGCTCTCTCAGAACATAAGGCGGTATACGGCAACATCAACCAGCGAGAAAAAGAAACTCAACACAATTATCTACCAACAGCATCCCCGCCCTGTGTATCCAACCTCCCACCAAATCATGTGGGGACAGCATCGAATCGCGCACCGTTATAAAGAATTGGTTTTCCATGGCACACCCTTCACCATACCCCAGTGTTCCATCGCAAATGATGTGGCCAACAGAAACATGCAAAGAGCGGGAGGGGGGGGCGTCGTGGACTTCCCCGTGGCCGCTCCGAACAAACTCGCTCGGCCACCCGTCGAAACCACTCGAGTCGCTCGCTTCACCAGCGTCGCTGTTTCCTGCCCCACCGAGAACAGTCAGCAGCTTCGGGTCTCTATAACCATCACCAAAAAACTCCGGCCCTACAAAAGACCCTTATACAGTATACATATAGACCCTTACAAAAAAATAAAGGCGTACGTGCATCTTCCGCCACGCTACCTCCGCGTTAGGGGCGGGTGAGGTCAAGCGGAGAACCAGCGGCACCTCCGCTTCCACCCCCACCGCCGGCGCCGCCACCGCCACCACCACTGGCCCTTCCTAAATGACCAGCCTGGCCACAGCGAGCCAGTCAAGGAAAACCACACGGTGCAACCGGGGGGCGCGGGGGTTAAGGTGTCACCACAGCTCAATGTTCTCAAGGGTATCGACACCGAGGTCCGTGTTGGATTACAGCGAATTCGAGGTCATGTTGTACCTCAGGCAAAAGAGGCGACATAAGCAGCTCGCTTCGATTTGACAAACAAGAAAGGCCGAAACTATCTTGAGATGAATAAGAAAAAAAGTTTATGCATGAGAGAGGGTGCGAGGGGGAAAGAGGGAAGCGAACAACTAGCTTCGGCGAAGGACTTGCTTTCCAAGAGCAATTGTATGCGACAACAAGATACGAGAAATTGCCCGCAAACGTACCAGAGACAACCAAACAGGTGCTGGGCTTCGTGTGCCATAAACAAAGCAAAGTGAATCACCCTCCATTCAACAACAACGAACACCACCGGCAGCAACACAGCTACAGCAGCCTCTTGCAACCAAAACAATCCATCGCGCTCACAAAACGTACCTCAAACACAGCCCGCGACATCGCCATCGCCCTCGCCAAGTCCCGCTCCTCCTGGGTCGCCCCCCCCCCGCTTCCTCCTCCGCCGCCGCCCCCCACTGCGAGGCTGCGGTCACTGTCGCCATCACTATCATCTTCGTCGTTATCGGAGGAGCTGAGATAGCCCAACGGGAAGCGCGCGCCGACCCCGGTGCCCACACCGGAGCTCCCAGATCCGCCAGCAGCCGCGTGGCTGCTCAAGCCGCCACCACTACCGCTACCGCCTCCGCGTTGGGCAGGGGTAGAAGAAGAAGAAGCAGTAGCATCACGGTCGGCGCCGGCGGGTTGCGAGCCCACCATGCCGAACAGTTTCTGCGAGCAGGTGCACGGGGTGCGAGGCGGTGCGTTTCGTATTCTGTGTTACTGTTGTATTAAGGAAACTGCTCGCGCGCGCAAGCGAAAGAGCAACGTAGAATGAATCAACACTCGTCACCTTTGGGCGGTGGCAGCAGTACATAGCTTCCAAGAAAAAGCCCTACTGCCCCCTAGGCTCCACCTCCTTCCGGGTGGTGTTCACACCGCGGCGCGCGCAACCGCGATTTTCGCCGGCGTTTCCATAAAATAAATGGAATGGAACAAGGGCGCGCATACGTACATCCGTGGTGTGTGCGTTCTTCGAAAGCCCTCGCCAAGTCCATCGCCAGCGGTGGGTTAATCGAAGTAGGGGTCGAACCGGATTCTAGAAGGTGAAACTGATTAATACCCCACATATAGCCGACCGCAGCCGCAGCCGCAGCAGCAGCCGAGCAGCAGCAGCAAAACCGCGAACCGCTGCAAACCGCAAGAGCACCACAAACCGCTTCCACCTTCATTTAG